GCCTTAGTTCCTTAGCGGCAGGCAACCCCCATAACCATCCCAATAGTGCACTCTGCACTAAAAATGAAACCCCACAACATGAAAGTGCTACACAGTATGAAAACATGCATTACAGTGCATTGCATTACATTGCAGTGCAGCATCAGTGCAGTGCAGTGCATTGCATCACATTGCATCGCATCGAATCCTCCGTAAGTAAAAAGATGGCGACTGGTAAATTTACCCATAGTTCTTAGCACATGAAATTCTTAACAACGTTTATAAAAATGTGCCGAAACGTTATAAAATCTTTCAACCTAGGCTACTTAGTGACAAATATTGTAAAAATTTGGCTTTCCTTGTGCCTTTTAGGCTGTGTTAGGTTCACAAGGCATTGTGGTAAAATGTACAGCCGCCATCTTTTTTCCTACGGTGGATTGCATCACGTTGCATCACAGCGCAGTGCAGAGCATTGCAGTGCATTGCAGTTAAATTATTGTAATGTTGTTGCTCTATGCCTTAAAATATTCTCACTTGTGACATCTTTGTTTGAGAAATCTTAACCAAACCATCTATGGTCAAATTAATATTCTGCTGTCAGCCAAAAATATTGTAAAGCTCTTCTGAATCAAAACATTTCTGTCGATTAAAAATTGACCGGAAATGTATTAGTCAGCTTAGTTTTTATATCCCAACCGCACTAGAAAATGGCTGCTGACAAATGCTGGAAATTTCATGCATATATATTGTATATTAACCACAACATATTTTGATATATTGTTTTAATTCAAGAAATAAAACCCTTTGAAAATTTAACCTCTATATATGACAGTTGCAATAACATGCCACCAAAAGACGTTGTCCCTGAAAATTCCAGTTATAACCCCAGGGCATAGTTCATGAGAGGTTTTGGGTGGTCTTAAAAGCAGGGGGAGGCTTATATCCGGGGAAGCTTATCACTGTAAGTGGCATAAGAAACCGTTTCTAATAAAATAAGCTTAACACAATACAACATAACAAAACACAACATCCAGCAGTATAACAAGATGTTTTATTTTCTTGGAAACAAGAAACACAAGGCACAATTAGTAAGGAAACATTAGTACGCAAAGTACAGATCAGAGACCATCAAATAAAGCTCACTTATAAAGGCATAACTGGCCAGTGAGGTACGCAAAGTAAGAGAGGACTTACATCCAGGGTGGCTCGTAATCAGAATAGTTTTTTGTAAAATCATATAGATGAGCCTATAACCAGAATTTTTTGGTAATCTGTCATACTGTCTCTAATTTAGGTGCACGCTGACTGTATAACATTTTTACCAACAGAATGATAATGGTCTGTACGGATAAACAATTGCGTTTAATGGATTGATAGATCATATTGGACAACCGTCACTGGAGGATTTTGTCCTGAAAAAATGCTGGCCACCATAATATGTTACATTACAAGAGTCAACTCTGCAGTAATGCAGTGGCTACTGGTTCGCTCAACAAAGAACTGAATCAATGAGTACTAACCTCTTGTTTAAAAGAAAGAGATATAATACAGCCCTAAGTTAGTGCTGGTTGATGCTTGCTTAAAAAATAGTTGGGAATTATTAGCTACCACCGCTTGCATCTAAGGGTGAACATGTGATGCCAAAATATGCTCTAAATGGGTGTCAAACATGGCATGATTTGTCATCAAACATTTGCAGTTTAGCAGACGGTTGTCCGAACTTTCACACTAAAAGTTCAGCACACAAAATGACAAAAAGATTGGACGCTGAAGACTTCTTCAGAGAAATTGACCCTGACCTGTGTCATTATGCATAGGCCTTTCCAGAAAGTGGTTTTACTTCTAGTATTATCACTCTTAGATGTAAGCGACAGTAGAGAGGGCTGGGTAGCTAGCAATCTTTATATGGTAAATACTATTTGAATTGCTGTTAACAGAAAAAAATGTCTATAACACACAAAATGACTTCATGTGTGTTCTTCTGTTGAAATAAGTTGATCATCATGCAGATGTAGTTATGTTCTACTTTTGCTAGCAAGCATTATTTGTATAATCAGAAAACAACTGCTACTTACTCATAACTGAGGTTCCTGAAATATCAGTGTCCACTTATATTAGGGTTATCTGGACAAAAATAAAGATGGTATCATTACTTTATTATTTGTGTTTTGCAAGGATGTCAATCAAGTTTTAGCCTAAAATTATACCCACTAACTACTCTTGTGTTATAAACAGGCTTAAGTGTCAATTAGGTCATGAAATGTCAAGCAGCATGGGTTCTTGTGAGCCACATACATGAAAGCTGACAAAAAAAGTGAGCTTCACAAGGAAGGCTGAATATAAATTATGTAAAAACAGAGGAAATAAGTCTCCTTAGTTTACAGGGGACTGGAGCACACCATAAAAGGAAAGGTGTCGGGAGAAAAATAGTCAATTGAACTTTCAAAAATCCAATTCATTGAACTCAATCCACAGATTGGCAATCAAACAAAATCAAATACTGAACTTTTTGTGACTTCAATTTCCAAACCAATCAAACTCAATCGACCAAATATGTCAAGCAGCACGAGTGTTCATGAGCCACATACATGTAAGCTAACAAAAATGGTGAGCTTGACGAGGAAGGCTGAATATTTTAAAAACAGAGGGAGCAAGTCTCTTAATTTACAAGCAACTGGAGCAGGCCATAAAAGGGAAGGTGTCAAGAGATAAAGCATGGCATAGTCAATCGAACTTTCAAAAATCCAATTCATTGAATTCAATCTAGTCGGATTGGCAATCAAACAAAATCAAATACAGAACTTAAATTGTGTGACTTCAATTTCCAAACCAATGAAAGTCAGTCAACCAAATTGAACCCATTCAAGCTCTGAATTCATTAAATTATGTTTGATAATGAGACATTGAGTTCTGAATCAATTCACTTGAACAATTAAAGGTCATGTTCTGTGGTCAGAAAATAACACAAATCTACACGAAAAACATGTTTTACTGAGGTAACTCAAGTTTGAAAACTTGTTATTAATTTTCAACTTAATTTCACATCAATAGTCCAGAAATCAAGCCTTCAATTGAGTTCAATTGTCCAATTCTTATTTGTGAGTCAATTTCATTTAGTTGCCAAACTCAATCAAACTTGATCCATGGATTGAGTTCGACTGAGTTTAATATACAGTTTGATTGGATTTGATTGCTAAACTCAGTCAAACTTGATCCATGGATCATTTGTCAGTACAACTAAGTTTGATTGACTATGCCAGGGATAAAGCCCGGGAGGGTACTCCCAAAAAAGTTGGGTGGGGGTGTGCAGCCCACTTCCCAAAACCCTTACCCTATTTATGACCAAAATCTGTGATTTTCCTTACCCTATTTATCGTCTGGCCAAAAATTCGATACCCTATTTATAACCATTGTGGCTGGCGCAGTTGTCCTAAACATAAGTTATCAAGGGCTTCTGTTGACATTCTTATTGAATATGATGAAAAAGTAGCTTCTTCTAAGAAACATAAACAATTAAAAACTATAGGGCTAAAACCCTACCCTATTTAAGACCAAAATTGCCAAAATTGATACCCTATTTTTGATGACTGAAATGACTGAAAAACCCTACCCTTTAGGGCCACACATTCCTGTATAGCCCTTATAAGGGAGTACCCCCCGGGGGGATAAGGGTACAGGAAGTGGGAGAGCAGGGTACGCAAAGCAGGAAGTTTTGCCCATGTTCCCCCGCCCCCCAACTTATGTAGAGTCTATTTACATGCCAGGTTGGGTGTCTGGAAAACGCGAACAGCAAATAGCGAATAGTCGAGAATAGCGAATAGTGAATAGTCCCGAATAGTGCAAATAGTGGCGAACAGTCGCGAAAAGTGGCAAATAGTGACGAATAGTCATCAACAGTCACTGCTTTAGATCTAATATCCTGCGTTAATTAATTATCCAAATAAGCAACAGAATTTCAGTGAATTTATTACCTTTTCTTCTCTGAACTCAGGCTAGGGCTGTCCATC